GAGAGAGAGAGAGAGAGAGAGAGAGAGAGAGAGAGAGAGAGAGAGAGAGAGAGAGAGAGAGAGAGAGAGAGAGAGAGAGAGTACATTCGAAAATAGAAAGGAGCCAGTCTTCATTTGACCCCGATAATCAGTTTTATGCAATGTCATTCGAAAATGGAAAGCAGCCTTTATCGAAAATTCATGGGAGCAGCTGCGACCATTGTCGTGAGCAGTGTCGTCCCCCGTACGTCGTACGGGGGGTCTCCGTACGACCCGTGCGTACGGACGGACGGACGACCGTACGGGCGTACGGACGACGGCCGTACGACGGTGATTTGGGGGCCAAAAAAAAACCCAAAAAATAGAATAAAATATGGGGTTGTGGATCTTGAAAAGATCTACAACCACTTTTTTTTTTTTTTTTTTTGACCTTTGAAAAGATTTAAAAAAAATCAAAACAAAAAAGACGAGAAAAAAAAAGAGAAAACAAAGAAACTCGTAGCAAAAAAAAACGGGCAGTTGCCCCCTGTGTGTGTGTGTGTGTGTGTGTGTGTACAAAACCTGGCAATTGAGTAAAGATGAAAAGCTGACAAGCAACACCACGCCCGAAGTAGGAATCTTAGCGACAGTAATCAATGCGGATCGCAGCTTGAAAGTTGAAGCCCGTTGGGCGATACCGGTCACAAAAGCAATTGACGCTCTCCCGGAAGCCAGCTCTCTTCTATGCACACGCGCTTCTCATCTCCCTATGTTGGCTTGTCTCCGTATCAAAGCCAGGTGGGCAAAGCCCCTGACACTGGTTGCATATCCTGATATATAGGGCGCCCAGATCCCGCCCTTTGGACCACCACTTATCTCCCTCCTTCCACTCCTGGTCTCTCAAGGAATGCCAACCAACGCCGACTGGGACCAGGATATGGCAGAAGCATGTCAGTGCTTCCCCAAGGTGATCCCCACCCTGCGCGCATGCGCCTCGTCTCCCCTATCGCCCTTGCCACCCCAACCCTAGGATTTGGCACTGTGCAGCACTCGCCGCAGCTGCGCTGACGCGATCCCCCAAAGCCCAGGCGCATGCTCTGCGGCAAAAACTTGATTCAGGAGCACTAGCGCTTGCGCTAAGAGCCCTAGCACAACTTGCCCAAGCGCTAGCTCTTAATCAATCAATCAATCAATCAATCAATCAATCAATCAATCAAAATCCTGCCCAAGAAAAAAAAGAACTTGCCCAAGAAAATAGAAGAAGTCAAAATCGAGAAAAAGGGTTTTTTAACTTCCTTTTTTTTTTTTTTGTTCCCGATGCTGAAAAAAAATCCTGCCAGGTCGCTGCCGGAGCCTGATTGGCTGTGGTCACCTGCCCGGTTGCAGTCCCGGCCGCCGGTTGCCTGGGGGTCCCCGGTCACTACCGGGGGTGACACAGCGCCATAGTCAGATATATGGAGCCGTCCACGGCGTCCAGGTAGTTTTTCAGGGGGCATAGGGCCTCGTTCCACACCACTTCACTCCACTTCAATTTTAAGTGCGGCACTTGAGCTGCGTCACAGGGTAATCGTCATTAAAAAACACTTGAGCCTGGCACGGTTCGACGTTACACTCCACTCCACACTCGAAACAGGAGCGGGAAAGTGGCAGAGGCTGTTGGCGCGAGGGAAGGGGGGATGTAAAACAAAAAAAAGAAAAAACGGGGGGAAAGTGCAGCGCCTACAACCGCCTCCTGGCTCTCACTTGCGCCGTTTTGAAGTGCGGCTCAAGTGTGCCCGGAGAGGTGACTTGAAAAAATCACCTATTCCCCTGGGCCGCACTTGAGCCGCACTTTACGTTTTTGGCGGGCGCCGGGAGAGGCGGGAAGCCTAATCGCGATTAGGGAAGGTGAAACTCAAGTGCAGTGCAGTGTGGAACCAGGAATTTCTCAAGTATTTCTAAAGTGGAGTGGTGTGGAACGAGGCCCATAAAGGGTTTACCTGCAGGGCCTGCAGAGAAAATGCACAGGCCTAGAGGCTAGAGTCCCATGTATCCGTACGACAGGGCTCTTTTTTTGAAGATGATTCAGAATGGGATATCCTTCCTGCTTAGAACTGCCGCCTGCGACCGCTGTAACGGCGCTGTTGGGTCAGCTCATCTTCCCGAGAGAGCGACCAGGGTGATTGTCCTTCCTAAGTGGTACTACCTTCTTTCCCCGAATACAAGGTACGGTCATTATAGCTGTATTTAGACTGAAAAAGATACCCTAGAATCTAGATACAGCGATAATGACCGTACGTTGTATTCGGGGAAAGAAGGTAGTCTACTAGACACTACCGTAGGGTAAGGCTAAGCCGCTAAGGGAGTGGGGGGTGAACCGGGGGGAATAAACGAAAGGGGGGGGTGGGTTCTTGTGAAGTGAAGGGGAAAAGACCCGGGGGAAGAAAAAAGTCAGGGACTGGTCGTCATGATCTCCAACAGTTTGACGGAACTTCGACCCAATTCCCTCCTACTATTAAAAGGCCGCGTCCTCCACCGTGTTGTACTCGTTCGATGGTAGTACCGTGGCGACTTGGTAGTCCAACTCGTCAGGTGTGCACTCTGTCGGAAGCGCGCGAGCGACGGCTAGCACAGCCTGGCAAGCTGGCAGCAATTTGTGGAGTGGAAGAGCCTGTGCTGCCAGTGATTTATCCGAGTCTATCCTTCTGAACGGTGCTATTAAGCTTTCCAATCACCAGGGCGATGGCTAGTGCAATCAGTCTCAGTTCAATTCCAGTACCAGGAGTGGCTGTGCGTCAGCGGCGAAGTGCAGAAGCTGCTACCCGCACAAGAAGAGTGCGGACGTGGCTGCTCTCGCGGAATGCTGGCGGAGCGTCGATTGGTGATTGTTCTCTGTGGGCACCCGCTCATGGTGGGGAGCTTGTGCATGCAGATCCGGATCCGGATCTTGGCTTCGCCACCTACGCTGTCCAGTTGAAGGTGGGGCTGGGTTCTGGGAGGTGGAGCATGCGATCCCGATGCCGGTCAAGGGGAGTCTGCCTCGCGACCGCGAAGTCTGGAGGTACTGAAGGCGACGAGGGGAAGAGGCATCGTCTGCGCTTCTTGCACCGCTTTCACGCGAACAGAGCTACCTACGTTCCTTCACCAGAGGAAGTGAGAGACGCGAAGACTGGGGAGAAGGAGAGGGGGAAACACAATGTGTACCATGGTGTGCAAGAGGGTGAGACCCTGGAGAGCATTGCTAGGCAGTTCGACATTCGGCAGGAGTTTTTGGTCGAAGTCAACGATATTCCGGACCCCACGAAGTTGTCACCGGGTGAGGTTCTGTGGATTCCACACGTGTACGAGGTGAAGAGGGGTGACACGATAGAGAGTATTGGAGACAAGCTCGGCGTACCGGCGTCCAAAGTGCAGGCCATAAACGGCATTCGTGATACCGATCGGGATACCGACTCGATATCTGAGGGGGACGTGCTGGTTATCCCGTCCACGAAGCACGAGAGCAAGGGCGCGGCGGAAGGACGCGAAAGCGGGAGGGGGGAATCGCGCGGGGAGGGACTAGGAGTGGAGGAGGGGAGGGAAGGGGAAGGGCGAACGGGGATGGGAGGATCGACGGCTTCCACGACGGGGACGACGGGTACAACAACAGGGCACGGAGAAGGGGGGGGGGAGAGGACTTCGACGACAGGGACGACGGGAAGGGGTACAACACAGCAAGGAGGAGGAGCTGGGGGAGCGGGCGGCGGTACGACCAAAGGAGGGAGGGGAAATGGAGGGCAAGGAGAAGTGGGGTCTGCAGGGCAGGGAGGAGTAGGGGAGGGTGGAAGTGGAGAAGCGGGACGGTCAACATCTTCGACGACGGGGACGACGGGTAGGGGATCCAGTCTCAGCACGGGGGGAAGGGTTAGCACAGGGCAAGGGGGAGCTACCGGCCTTGGAGGACGGGAAGAGGGGTGGGTTTCTCCAACCGCCACTCCGGGTCTGGACAGGGGAATGGGGCGGGGAGGGGAGGAGGGTGCTGCAGGTCTAGGACGAGGACAGGCAAGCTCTGCAGAGCTCGACCTGGGACCGGGCGGTGTACTGCTCGACCTGGGACCGGGTGGTGACTCTGACCAAGGCGAAGAAGGTGCTTCGACTATATGAAGGGACTCGAAGCTCAGCTCGACCTATAAGTCTTTGTGGTATTGATACTATTGAAGCTTAAGACATCTGCACACGCCACAGTGCAGTTGTGATGTCCACTTGAGAGCACACCTGTGCTCATTGCGAGCGTCGGTTTGAATACGGGCCAGGAGGTGGAAGTATGCAGCGGCTGGTTCTACTTCCATCCACATCGTTTCACCGTCTAGTAGCGTCAACGTCCACGAAAGGTGATCGCTATGATGAAGGTTTGAGGGAGGGAAGATACGGTACGCACTACCGTCTTCCCTCATGACGACTGTATCGGACTCGAAAAATAACTTGTATATACGCACATTAACAGGGTGCGTTGTTCTCAGGGGAAGCTCGGTAGAGGGAGGGTTGCATAATGCAGGATGACGTTGCAGCTCGATGAGGATTGGCTGTTTGACCAGCTTACTCTAGGGAGAATCGGTACTAGGTCCTGATCTTGTGCTCCACGGGGTTGTGGTCTTGGCTCTTTGAGCCTCTTTCTAGAGGAAAGATAGGTACTAGGTCTTTGTCATGTGCTCCACTGATTCATAATCTGAAACCGCATTCAAAGGGTACCATACACAACACAACGACGAACACTCGTCGAAGAGGAATACGAAGGTCCATAACAGTTGGGCCCATAACAGATAGGCAGGTCTTTGTCACGTGTTCCAATTTCGTTCAAGCTGGGTCCTCTGTCCTCTTGGGGATCTCCCCCCGTCCCCGGCCAACCGCTGCACTTTTAGTAGCAAGGAGCAACGCGCACATGATGCAGCACATCATCATAACAGGTGGTATCAGAGCTCATAACATAGGGCAACAACGAAACTAAACAAAGTCAAAACGTAGGATAGGATAACTAGGAAACTAGTTAACTTAGTGTACATCTTCATCGTATACTCGCCGGAGGTTTTGTCTTGGTTGCGCGGGAGAAGCAGACCGAACTCCTCGAGACTGTATTTTGCGACAATGCGGCTTATGAACTCCGATGAACTCATATGAACTCCGAAATGTGACGCACGAGTCATTGTCATTGCGGGAAGAGCTCTAAGAGAAAAGAAAAGAAAAAAAGAACACGAAGAAGCGAGTTGTGAGAGAGGTATATCGACAGAGGGAGGTTAAGAGTTCGGAGCATGAATTGAAAAGCGGGGGGATATATGAGTCTACCGAGATCGCTGGAAGAGCTCAAATCTCTTACACACCAATCCAGAAGAGGGAGAAGAGTTCGAAGACAGTGATCACCTCACCTCGCGGTTGATTCGTATGTGTTTTGTCCAGAAGAGGGAGTTCACTGCGAAATGTTGGCGTGAATCCGCCGCGGATCATTGAAGACAGGCTGGCTTGGAAACTGATGTTAGCTGCTAGTAGTAAGATTTCTCCTCGTTGCACAGGGAAGCAGCTCGCTACGGTACTTCGCGAACTGAAACGTACGTCTGCCCAGACCTATGTTGGTTTTCATTTGACAAAGCAATTTGCGCTGGAGATCTTTGTTATGCATGCTGGGCTATCGTCAAATTCTTAACCCCTCTCTCTCTCTCTCTCTCTCTCTCTCTCTCTCTCTCTCTCTCTCTCTCTGTGTCTGTCTGTCTCTGGTTCATGATTTGCAATGGGAACAGTCATAAAACCTCCCCCCCGCGACGAAACCTTTGTAGCCATTTCCCCCCAAAACGAGAAAAAAGTGGCGTTCTCGAAAAAAAAAAAAAAATCGAAAAAAAAAAAAAGAAGTGGCGCAGGTCCGAAAATCACTTTTGTAACGTTCTGTTGTCATTTTTGCACCCTGGCTGGGCCGGGCCGAGGTCCCACTAGCAAAGAGGATCGGATCGAATGCCTGAATCTGGATGTGTTTTATGCAGAGATGCAGACAAGCAGTTCAATCTCGATTTCCTGCACCTGTTCACAAACACGTCCAGATTCAGGCATTCGATCCGATCCTCTTTGCTAGTGGGACCACGCCCCCGGTAAAGGCCGCTGTGTAAAAATGGCGGGAAAGTTTTTTGCAGGCTGCAAAAATGACGTGGAAAGTGATTTTCGGACCTGCGGCACTTTTTCTCTCGTTTGGTGGGAAATGGATACGAAGGTTTTGTCGCCGGGGGGAGGTTTTATGACTTTTCCCATTTGCAATCGTAGCTCCGGTGATCAGGACTCTGCCACGGGATGGTGCCATAGAGACGAAGAAGAACACGTATGTTCTACGTTTGTGCAATGAACTATCTCCACGATATCTCGGGATTGGACGGATTGGACTCCAATTCACTCAATGAATATGTTGCATCAATATGTGGCATGCTTACTGGAACGGTTGATGATATCTATCGTTCAACTGATATCTATCGTTCAACTCTTTTCACAGGAATGCTGCGAATGATCACTTGCCAACTTCCCTGCGGTGATCGTGGGCCCAAAAACGCAGTCGACGTGGGAATCTATCGTCTCGGTTTAGGGTAAACGGGCAAGTTGAACCTGCAAGTCGACGTGAGAATCTATCTTCTCGATCGGGAAAACGCGCAGCGTGCAAGGATGTGACGACTCTGACGAGGTTTCTCGGAATTCAGATTTCAATGTAAACAACAGACTTGTCTGTGTAGGATCGTCAGAGACTTTACAAGTATATAAGCTAACTCCCAAAAGAAATACAAATAAGGGGAAACGACGTGGGAGCCGCAAAATAGAGTTATAATTGCACACTGTGTCAAGTCAAAGTTCTGAATTGCAGTTCGGGCAATGTATGTATACAACCCAGCTTTCTGGCCAGGTAGGGTGGGTGTTTTTTGTGCCGCCATTGCACAAACTGTATCTTTCCCCATAGTGCAAGTATAACTCGTTTTGGTGATTCTACTGAAGTCACCCCTAAAAATAAAGAATCTGTAAGCTGGTGATGATTGAATTGAAGTGACCTGTTCTCTCAGGAAAGAAGTGGAGAATGAAGTGGTCTGATTTCGAATCGAAGTGAAGTGTTTAGCCTACGTACGACGCATGCATGGATGGCATTGCGTGAATGCAGAGCGGGACGTAGTACGTAAATATTCCCCCACGATTTGAGTGACTGCATGCATCGTGTACGTACGTAAATATTCCCCCACGATTTGAGTGACTGCATGCATCGTGTACGTACGTAGCCTATGAATGAAGCGTCTTTTGAGGGCTGGACATAACGCAGGGCTTACTATGTAGAAGGCGGGGTTCCTGTTATGAAGGGCAAACTCACACTAGGCCCTCGAAATCGCAGAATCGCAAAATGAGGGGCCAGATTGAGCTCTGGTAAACGAAGGACTCGATCTGTTCGGTCATGTTTTTGCGATTTTGTGATGCACGTAGTGCGAGTATGCCCTAAGAACACGATCCCCCGTGTGTCGACTCTGTGGCTGAGCATGTCCGAGCCACTCAGGGAGCTAACTGCCGTCTTCCCCCGAATAGAACGCACGGTCATTAATGCTGTATCTGGAGAGACAGTTGCCCCAAATCCAGGCATAATCACCGTACGTTCTATTCGGGGGAAGAAGGTATTTGGATGACCACGTAACGTCCGAGCCACTCATTGACGAGGAGGTGAAAATGTGGACGACCACGTCAGTGCATGCATGGAGGTTTATCCGCCTGATCACAAAATCCAGATCTGCATGAGTGTCGGGAAGAGCAATGGATTCCCCCCCCGGTGGCCCGGTGGCACAACCTGGAGCTGTTTGCCGCCCAAGCCGGCCAGAGCATTTGGTACGCCCTTAAATTTAACTTTCACGTTGTTCCCACCCACCGCGTGTACTGGCATCGCATGCCTTATCGGCTGCGGGCTGGGGTGCAAACATGCACGTGAAAGCTCTTCAGAACATAGCACACGCCGCAGTTTGTCCCGTTTAGGGGCAAAAAATAGCAGAGGTTTTGCCGCGGCGGAGGTTTTGCTGGGGGTGCAAACATGCACGTGAAAGCTCTTCAGAACATAGCACACGCCGCAGTTTGTCCCGTTTAGCGGCGAATAATAGTAGAGGTTTTGCCGCGGAGGGGATGTAACACTTTTAGAGGTTTTGCGGCTTTTGCCGAGGAGGGGATCAAGTACTTTTCCCGCGTTGGGAAAGGGTGCAAAGTCGTTGTTGACGCAAAGCAGGGGTCTGTTGGTGAATGGCGGACGTGAATGTTGACTCGAAAAAGGGGTACGTTCGGGAATGGGGGACGTGCATGTCGACGTAAAAAAAAGGGGCATGCTCGTGAAGCATTATGATGGTGTATGTTGAAAAGCATTATGATGGTCGTGCATGTTGAAAAGCATTATGATGGTCGACGTGCATGTCGACGTAATAAAAAGGGGCACGCTCGTGAAGCATTATGATGGTCGTGCATGTTGAAAAGCATTACGATCGTCGTGCATGTTGAAAAGCAGTATGATGGTCGTGCATGTTGACGTAATGAAAGGCAACCTAACTCTATGGCAACTGTACACAGGCCAACACGTTGCAGCCGCCATAGACTGCCATAGCAAAATTTTAATGCACGTCTTCAGTGCCCCGTTGACTTACGGAGTTCCGATACGTTACAGCTGCGAAGCAAAACGCGTGAATGCATGGTTGGAGGAGAGGTAGGTTGCATGCACCACGTCTTCACCGGAATAGAACGCCCGGTCATTATAGCTGTGTATTTGGTGGAACTTGCAGTCTAGATGCAGTGATGATGACCGGGCGTTCTATTCGCGTGAAGACGGGAGTAAATTGTCGGTAGTCGTCAGTAGTAGACAATTGTACGTCTTTGTATGTGCGTACGTGAATGCACGGAACCGCCGGAACACACGGGGTATAGCCGGTCCGAGTTTTATGCGCGGGTGTGCGAAATGTAGTGAAGATACACAAATGAATGAAGAACCCAAAAAAAAAAGGAGGCGGGAATGAATGCGTACGTAGTGTGCATGGTAGCATGCTCTACGTGTGGAGGTAGTGCGTTGTGCTTGTGGAGAATCTGCAGATCATCATTTTTCCTCTTTTTTTTTTTTCGGCTGTTTTTGTTTTTGAGATGGGCGACGGCCCTTGGAATATCATGGACTAATCGGCGCCAGGTAATTCTGAGTTATCTTGTTCTACTGACCTGATGACGTTGGGATTCGGACTTCGGTCCGTATTTCATCAGGTAATGGGTGAGCTAGGCCCGTTGGTAGAGCATCAAATTACAAACAAACAGCTGCGAGTATTGTGGAGAACTGATTGCATTTTTTATTTATGTTTTTTCGGCTGGTGGCTTTTTTTTTTTTTTCTGTCTGTGAAGGCTTTAATTGTCGAAGCCCAACCAATTCAATTCCCAGTCGAATCTGGACAGGACGACCTTTCACTGGCTTTCAGGCCTTCTTTTATTGTGATTATAGTATTACGGGGAACCTCGTAGCAGCCACATCCGTGCTCAAGCCTCCAACGAGGGTACATCCGGGAGCTGCACAGGTCAAGCCTCCAACGAGGCTACACGGGGGAGCTGCACCCACCGGCAGGTGTGATACCTGGTACAGCAGTTAGGCTGGCCAGGGGTCAGCCGGTAGCGTCAGGACTGAGCTTCTTCGATGGGCCAGTCGCTGTGCCTCCGCTCCGGTCCCCTGCCGCTATGAACATCAGCAGTCTCTGCTAAATGCCACTCCGGGGAACCAACGGCCTATCTCTAGGTGGCGTGCGCCAAGCTTTCCCAGGAAGGTACAATAGGCCAATGGGAATTGAACCCTCCTGAATGCCACTTGGGTGCCTTACCAACAGAGCTAATTGTTGATTTCCCCATGATAGGTCCTTTTTCATAATATTGGCATTGGAATTTATTCCAGATGTGCATCCAGCCCCAGCTTTGCTGCCTGTTGGTGCACTGTGACACCCAAACCTCACGCCCAGCGCAACTTCCTTTCCGGAGTGGGGCTGGGCCCGGAAGTGCACGAAGAAAAGGGACAGATGCAAATGATTCGAAGAGTGAGTCCCTCTGCTGGCAATTAGATCGGTGGGCTCTGCCGTCGGGGATGGGCTCGTAATTGGTGTACCGCGGGAATACAGCGGCTCTCCCTCTGCTGGAATATCCGTCGTCGACAGGACTCTCACAGATCGGAATCTGAGGTTGTGTTCTTGGTGCTCGGCTTCCGATCGGGTTCGTTGGATGAATACCGATGACCTATACTCGTGGTCTTGCTGACACTTGGAACACAACGTCGGGGGCCAGTAGAGAGCTCGTGCGTTCCAGGGGACGACTGTCAAAGCATGGAAAGGGAGAAGGCGATAGAAGGGAGGGAACTCAGTGGTTATAGCAACGAATCCTGGTTCCATGTAAGCCTGAAGGTTACGCGTGTTGGGATAGTCCAGGATCTGGGAATTACGTCCCATGGGTCGTTGGAAATCCAGAGCGGCGAGCGCATACGCCATCGTTTTCTGTTCGGCACGGATATGCAGGGAGTCTTGATTCCGATTGTTCATTTCTTCGAATCGAAGGTTCCGG